CTTCCTTTTCTTGAGACAGGGTCACTGTAGATCATGGTGGTCTGGAACTCATTATGTAGTCCATCTTGGCCTTGAATGTGAGCAGTTCTTCCACCTCAGCCTTTCCAGTACTGGGGTTACAGGTGGGACAGTCACTGCACCTGGCAGTTTTGTTTCCTATGTAGGATCTTACTATATAGTCAAGTTGGCTTGGAACTCAAAACGCTACTTTGGTCTCCACCTTACAGGTGTGTGCCATCAGGCCTAATTCCAGATCTTTATACATTTTAAACAGTTCTTTTCTAGTTTTGTCTTTTGAAAACATCTTACTCAGCTCCTTCTCTACTTTCCCAAATTCTACTCCCAAATTTTACTTGTGCTTTCGAGAATGCAAAATATTTTTCTGATCTTCACAGGGGTAGTTTCAAGGTATGGCTGTCTGACTGTAACCCTCTGTCCTTGTACCACTCATAGCACTGGACACAGTGCTGGTGTGTGCCTGCTTCCCTCTCTGAAGGAGGGTCTGTGTCTACTTACTATTGCATCTTGGTGTCTACCACATTTCAACCATGGAGTAGGCATCCAATAAATAATAAGACAACATGACCCATAAGATTGTAGTTTCAAACACTTATGCACACAGAAATGGTCTTTATGTAAATCCAAAGTCTATGATTCATTATGAAGCAAATTGAGTTGTGTGGGCAAAAAGCTCATTACCAAGTTAGAGGGTTGAGATGTTCCTTGAGTGGATTTTGAAAGACAGGCTCTGTTATCTTACCATTTGGATGGCATAGAGCTGGTTTTGTAAATATTAACTTCACAGTAGTTTTGTTCAAATAGCCTGTTCTGTTTGTGGTTGATAAACACTTTATGTTACTCCTCGTAGCTGTCTGCTTTCTCAAGGCTCTAGTTAACATGCTCTAGTTAAACATCTCTGGAGGTTTCTCAGAGAAGGTTAACATGTTTGTTTAGTTTTGAAATTTTTGATTGGGTCAAATAAAATATGAAAGTATACATTTCTTTATTGGCTTTGACATAACATCTGCTTATTATTCTAGTCATTAAAAAGAAATAGATTCTTTCCTACTAGCCACAGTGAGTTCTAGGGGATTGCAGAGAAAATAGCATATAGATGCATAGTCATTTTTGTAACTCCAGGAACAGTATTAAAAAAACATTTAAACTAAGCTATATTATAATATATTTATTTGATGAATTATAGTATTTGTATCCTGGAAATGGCTTGGGAAAACCAAAATCTTGTCAGTGGAGAGAAACATGAGTTACAGGGCTCAGTCTTTTTAGGTATTATTTTATAAATCATTTGTTTTTACGACTATGTTCAGGAAGAAAAATTCTTCATTTAGTTAATGACACTATCCATGAGTGCCTTTGATTTGTTTTTTAAAATGTTGTCAAGTTGTGCCAGATATAGTGGCACATAGCTTTAATCTCAGCACTTGGGAGGCAGATCGAGGCCAGCCTGGTCTATATAGGGAGTTCCAGTCCAACTGGGACCACAGGGAGACCCTGTGGCAAAAAAGTCAGGTTGTTTTAAAGTGCTTTTTAAAAATAGTATATTTATTATTTTTATGTTAAGTATTGCCTGCATGTGTGTAAGTGCACCCGTGTCATGTAGTGCCCTTGGAGGTCAGAAGAAGGCACTGAATTCCCCTGGAACTGGAGTTATGGATAGTTGTTAGCCACCATGTGGGTGCCTGAATTCCCCTGGAACTCGAGTTATGGATAGTTGTTAGCCACCATGTGGGTGCTGAGAATCAAACCTGGGTCCTCTGCAAGAACAGTCAGTGCTCTTAACCGCTGAGCCAACTCTCCAGCCCCCATTATTTTTAATTATGTGTATTACTGTGTGTCTGGGGGTATGTTCACCTGTGTGCAGTGCCTGTGGATGTCAGAGGTGTTGGATCCCCCTGGAGCCAGAGTTACAAGCAGTTGTGAGCACCTGGATGTGAATGCTGGGAACTGAACCCTGTTATTTTTAATTATGTGTATGCCTGTGTGTCTGGGGGTATGTTCACCTGCGTGCAGTGCATGTGGATGTCAGAGGTGTTGGATCCCCCTGGAGCCAGTTACAAGCAGTTGTGAGCACCTGGATGTGAATGCTGGGAACTGAACCCTGGTCTTTTTCAAGAGCAGTATGTGCTTTTAACTACTGAGCCATCTTTCCAGTTCCCTGCTTCACATTTACACCCAAATTAAAAAATATTTGCATCTGAGAATACTTTAAATTATTATTTGAAAGCACCTTGTACTGTCCTGTGATGCAGCTGTTTAAAGATACAGTATTCTGGTATTCTGGTTTGGCTTTTATTTAATATTTAACAAGATACAAGCAGTGCTAGACTTTAAAGACTTGAGTGAGTGATTTTGATGATACACTTTCTAGCCAGGTTTCCACTAATTTTACTGTTTCTGTTTGGAACAGTGGTACTTTTGAAGGTGGATTTTTTTTTCTTTTTAATTTGGAAAATTCTATATTTGCTTTTGACTTGACCCAGAGAAGGGGTTATTTCTGTGTTCAATTATCAGATTCAGAGAACAGCAGTTTACAATTACAATTTGTGAAATGCAAAGCAAATTGGCTTCAAGGGTTGGCCCGGCATTTAAAATGGAAGGGCCCCAGGAAACAGATTTGTAAAAGACTTTCTGGCAGTTAAGTGATTTACTAGACTGTCTTTGTTTTACATGAAGAAACTTCCCTAATATGAGAGGAAGAAAAGCAAGACCCGGACTGTGAAACAGCAGAGACTGAGATTTGATGAAAAAAGATATGTTTGAAACAATGGGCTAAAATTATTTAACATTTTGTTGCAAACTCGCCCCCCCCCCAGCTTTTTGGTAGCTGTGTGTGCACCTGGTGCTTCACAGCCTAAGGTCTCATAATCCTCCCTGCAATTGGCCATGGTGATTACAACTTCAATTGACATTTAAAAAATTTCGAAAGCTTGAGGCTGGAGAGATGGCTGAGTGGTTAAGAGCACTGGCTGCTCTTGTGGAGGACCCAGGTGTCCCAGCACCTACATAGCTAATAACCATCTGTAACTCTAGTTCTAGGGGATCCAACACCCTCTTCTGGCCTGATTGAGCATTGCATGCATGTGGTATACTTACATAGATGCAGGCAAAACACTCATACACATAAAATAAAAAACTATTTTAAATATTTTTTCAAAAGCCGTGGTGCTTCACAGGCCGATGCAGATTTCCAGCACTGAAAGATTTTCATAATGTTTTAAAGATCACTGTAGAGGAAGCTATTGCTTCCTCTGTGTTTTCTCAGATGGTCAGAGGCTGGTGATGTGGGCATTGTGAACTGCTTTTAGATACTCTAGTTAAAAGTTCCTTTTGGACACAATTTGAAGGATTTGAAGGATCAACATTTGCTAAGAACACACCTTTTTCTTAGGTTTTTTCTTTTTTTTTGGTCTTTTTGAGACAGGGTTTCCCTGTAGCTGCAGCTGGCCTGCTGTAGCCACAGCTGGCCTGGAACTCACTATGTAGACCAAGCTGGTGTTTAACTCACAGAGATAGCTTGCCTCTCCCTCTGGAGTACTGAGACTAAAGGCATGCACCACCACACCCGGCTTTCTTAATTAAAAAAAAAAAAAGTTTTTTAATTGAATTTTTGTGTATTTCATACCTAACATCTCAATTAATCACCTTTATACCTCCTTCCTCACTGGCACCCTCCCATAGCACCCCCACTGGAATTCATCCATCCTGTCTTTTGTCTTAGGACCTATTTTGTCAGGTTAGTGTCCCCAGATGTTCCTCAGTACAAGCTCATCTACTGAGATCTGGTCAGCCTATCTAGAGTCCATCACTTTAGGAAGACCAGCTTTGTAGACTGCTGATCCTTGGACAGGACTCCTATATTAAACTTCACCCACCTAGGGCTCAGGGACCATTGTTCTTAGTTTTTTGTTGTTTGATGTTTTTTTGAGAAAGCCTGTGGTTGCCGGCTGTGGCTGCTCTCCTCCAGCTATGGCCGCTCACCTGCTCTCTTAGTTCCTCTAATCAGTCATCTGCTCCAGACCCCAGGGCTGGTGAGGAGTCTGCGCCAGTGTCGCCGCATTCAGATGCAGGAGACCAGGTTCAGTGACACAGGTCTGTTTTATTGCAGGAAGGCACAAGCTTATGTAGGGGTAGTGGTCCAATCACAGCACAGCAAGTAGGATACCTTATTAGCATAACAGGTTTAGCATCCTATTAGCATAACAGACTTGATGTCCTATCACAGAATAGCGGGTTAGGATGCCTCATTAGCATACTGGGTTTCAGATTACAGAGCCTGGATTCCTGGAAACCACATGACCCTGACTGTTGCAATATCTAAGTGTTGCAATTTGGGAATTCCAAGGGTGGTGATTAGGGAGTGGTGAGCTCTAGGCATCAGTCTCATGATCTGCCAATGGGAGCAAATGTCACAAGGTATTCCCTGTGGCTCCAGTGGTTGGGCTGTTGCCTCGGGCCTGCTGTATGGCTGTAAGTAAGTCTTTCACCCTAGGCTCAAGCCTGTCTCCCACAAGAGCCTTGTTAGGTAGCCCGAGCTGGTCTTGAGATGTCCTTCCTGATTCAGCCTCCAGAGTGCTAGGGTTACAGGTGTGTGCTATCATGTCTGATGTGTGCTTTTTTTAAAAAAAAATGTGGGGCTGGAGGGATGGCTTAGAGGTTAAGAACACTGGTTGTTCTTGCAGAAGACCCAGGTTTGAATCCCAGCACCCACGTGGCAGCTAACAACTCTTCATAACTCCAGTTCTAGGGGATCCAACAGCCTCTTCCTTCCTCCACGAGCATTGCATGACAGGGGTGCACTTACTTACATGCAGGCAATGCATACATACACATAAAATAAATAGATATACAAAAAATGTGGTGGGGGTGTGTGCCTTTAGTGTAATTCTTTTATGTTGAATTGCTTGTGTGTGCTTATTGAAAGGCATATTTTTGTTGTGCTGCTCTGACACCATCAAGTTGAAAGTGTGACAGTGCAATGTGATTGTTTTTCAGATATACCTATGGGAAGCCAGTGAAGGGGGATGTGACACTCACATTTTTACCTTTATCCTTTTGGGGAGAGAAGAAAATATTACCAAAAAATTTAAGGTAACTTTTGCAGATATTTTATAATTTACAATGGGGACTTTTTAAAATAGTGATTTAAAAAATTAATTATAGGCCCTAGCTAGGTGAGTAGGTGCACACCTGTTATCCCAGGACACTGGGAGGTGGAAGAAGGACGATCAGGAGTTCAAGGCTAGCTTCTGTTATGTAGCAAGTCTGAGGCTAGTCTGAGCTGCCTGAGACTCTGTCTCAAAAATAAAAGCAAACAGAGGCTGGAGAAATGGCTCAGCAGTTAAGAAGACTGACTGCTCCTGCAGAGGATTCAGGTTCAGTCCCCAGAATGCACATGGCAGCTAACTGCTGTGTAATTGCAGTTCCAGGGAATATGTCACCTTCTTCTGACCTCCAAGGGCATTGCAGGACAAGGGTGCACCTACGTACATGTAGGCAATACATTCATACACATAAAATAAAATATTAAAAAAATAAAGATTTGCATTAAAAATAATAAAAAGCAGGCAAACAACAAAATTTAATTATAGGAATCACAGGAGAATGTAGTCTTTATTTAAAGTTTATGCCCATTTCCAACATACTGATACAGATAACTTTAAAGAATTTATGATTCAGATCACAGCAAGAAAATTTTATTTTTTTCTTAGAAACAAGATTTTTTACTGAATAAACAAAATAAGATTTTAAGAAAGTCAAGAACTTTCCAGCATTGGATAGGTGATTAAACTGGGCCCAAGCTGTCATACTGTGACTTAATTTGAGTTTTGTTTCAAGAATTTGAATTCCTAAAGTGAAAAGTAAAATTGAATTTTTAAACAAAACAGATAAGTGGATCTGCAAACTTCTCTTTTAATGATGATGAGATGAAAAGGGTAATGGATTTTTCCAATGGGCACTCTGAATACATGGACCTGTCCATCCCGGGACCCATAGAAATTGTAGCTATGGTGATGGAATCACTCACAGGTTTGTAGACTTTGAGGCCGAGGTAAACCTACTTTGCTGTTGTTATCACGTACTAGCACTTCACTTTGTCAACAGTGTTTGTTGCTTTTCTAAGGGGGTTAATGTTGAAGTTGTCATGACTAATGTTTTACTTACAGAATGTTTTCACACCTTTAACCCCAACACTCATGAAGCAGAGCACATGGATCTCTGTGAATTTGAGGCTAGCCTGCTCTACATTGTGAGTTTCAGGCCAACTAGGGCTACAGGGAGATACTGTCTCAATAAAAAAAAAAAGGGAAACATTTTCTATGGAAGTCTGTGTTTCAAGCACATCTAATAGCTCTTTGCATTTTTTTCTGTTTCAGTTCTCTTATCTTCTGGCTGATACATTCCTTCATCACTTAGTCTGAAATCTCACTTGCTTCTAGACAGATTACTTTTTCAATAAGAATGTAAAGCTAATCATCTGGACCCTTGTATTATTTCACCAACAAGCTCAGCCTGTTCTGTGAGTGCTTTAGCTGCTGGAGGATGGCAGCAGTGCTCAGGAGTTCACAGAAAGCGTGACAGAATTATGTGATTCTCAGGGCCAAAGCCAATAATGGATGTGAGGCTCGTGTGCCCTGATGTCTTCAACTCCATCAGTGAGAAGCTTAGATTGGGAGATGAGGTAGAAACAAGCTATTGGTGAAATCTTACTTTTGTATTCTAAACAGTGCAATTCCCAACATAGGTATCTCAAGAAATGCAAGTTCCAATGTGTTTTTCAAGCAACATGATTACATCATTGAATTTTTTGACTATGCTACTGTCTTGAAGCCATCTCTCAACTTCACAGCTACTGTAAGTTGGTGTGTTTTCTGCTAATCAACAAGCATGACAAATTCAGTGAAATGAGACAGAGTGGGAAATAGCATGCTCAGTATCTCTTTAAAACTTAAAAAATGTATTTATTTTTATTTGTGACTATGAATATATGTACACCTGCACGTATATATGTATACCACATGTATGTGATGCTTATGGAGACCAGAAGAGTGTGTCAGAGGCCCTGGAACTGGAATTCTAGATAGTTGAGGAACTGAACCTGGGTCCTCTGCAAGAGCAGTCAGTGCTCTTAATTGCTGAGCTATCTCTCCGGCTCTAATTTTTTAAAATGAGTTATAACAAGTGCCAAAATAGTTTTTCTGAAAATCAGTTTATTTGATGGAGATTGCTATACTTAAGGTTTTATTAATTGAAGAAATTAAATGACAGTCGAAAAATCTTAGTTTGATATTTTGATTTTTAGTGACTAATTTTAATTTTATCAAAGACACAATATTAATCAGAAACAAGGATAGTCTCTCTTTCAAAGAGAACATTGAATTAACACTCAGTCTTTTTTTTTTTGGTCTTTTTGAGACAGGGTTTCCCTGTAGCCCCAGCTGGCCTGAACTCACTGTAGACCAGGCTGGCCTTGGACTCACAGAGATCTGCTTGCTTCTGCCTCCCAAGTGCTGGAACTAAAGGCATGCACCACCATGCAATGCAACACTTAGTCTTTGAGTGACTTAAAAAATTTGAATGAATTCTTTTAGAAAGCATAAAAACGATGTTTCTCTTTATGACATTCCATAATATGCCATTTGAACATTGCTCACATTTGTACCCAACCCTCCAACTTGAATGAGTTTTGGCAATGTTCCTGCCTTAATAGGCAGGCCTGTTAAGCTGAGGAAGACCCTGGGAAGGAGGGAGAGTTGGCTTTGGGGTAAGGATGGAAGTTATTAAGAGGAGACTCTGAATCAATGCAAGATTAGTAGTGTTTAAATTGTTTGGGCATGGAGGTTGGAGGCAGGAAGCAAAATGAGCTGAGACAAAAGCAAGAGCTGTGGCTGGCAAGATCAGAGTGTATTAGACCAGTGGCTGGACAAGTGTGTTTGCAGCTGAGAACTTGCATCTGGGCTTGATTCAATAGGATGTGAAGTTTGGGAAATTCTAGAGGATCCTGAGTCTCTTACATATGCTATTGAACATTATGCTCTAGGCAGTGGGAAGTTTTGGAGCCTATGAGCACCCAGATGTGGTGAAAGCATTGTTTGAGAAAGACTGATGAGGGCTCTGTGGAGAAGGTGGCAGCAGCCAGGTGTGCAAGGGGAGGAGAAGCCCATGGTGGTGGCTGTGAGAGTGGAGAGGAAGGGCAGAGACATAAGGGACTTACTATGCACTAGGGTTGTGAGGTAGGGAGAGTGTGGGGGGAAATTCAGAGATAGCAAGCTTGGTAGGATGGTGGTGTGGATAAAACCAGACAAGGTAAGGTGTACTTGATGTGCTGAACTGGATTCTTGGTACTGAATTGGTTACCAAGCTTGGATTTCCTGCTGGGAAATGGAGCTCTTGATATGAACTCCAGGGGAAGGAGGATGGGAATTTTGGATTTGGGCTGTACTCACAAAGCTAAACCACAGGAGTGTTGGAATCTTTGCAGGAGGGAAAAGAACGACGGGTACCTGCTTATTTGACCTTGACAAATCCTCAACTTTAGAAAGAGGGAATGGGAACCTAACACTCATTGAGAGTGTTACCGTATTTGAAGTCACAGCCTGCGTCCCAAACAAATCCATGTTTGGCCACATGTCCTGATAAATAATGAAAGCAGCCAAATTAATAGCAAAAAGGAGATTTATTCAGTGTGGCCACATTGGAAAGAGGGACAAAGAGATCCGGAGAACCCCCTCCCCCAACACTAAATCCATCTTTGGAGTCTTGAAGTGAAATTAAGGTTTAAGTAGAGGGCAGAGTTAACATATATAAGCAGGTCCTAGGCAAGATATGGTCCCAGCTACAATGTTACCTCATTGCTTCTCCTGTGAGGTGGAATGCCCACTTATAAATCTCTTTCTTGGAGAAAAGTTTCCTCATCAGCTGGCCTAGGCTTTAGGCTTTCTCTTTGCCCGGCATGAGATTTCTGGGGCAATTTGATTTTCAACAGTCTAAAAACCAGAGTGAGGGACCCAAGTCAGTCTCTCTCTCTCTCTCTCTCTCTCTCTCTCTCTCTCTCTCTCTTCTTAACACTGAGCCATTTCTCTAGGCCCCACATTTTGCTTTTTTGAGACAGGGTCTCACTATGTATCCCTGGTTGGCCTGGAACTTGCTATGTAGACCAGAGATGCACTAACCTCTGTCTCTGCTTCTGGAGTGCTGGGACTAAAGGCCTGAGCCAACAGGCCCAGCCCCAAGTGTCTCTAGAATATCTTCATGCCTGCCAGGCCCATTACAAGAGAATGCAGAGGAAGGGATGAATCAAAAGAGCTGTGGAAGGCAAGGAAGCCATGCTTCTAAGAGCAGTGGTCATGGTGCCTAATGCCTCTTGGAGAAGGTCACTGAACATGGATTGGGGCACTACCAATAACTGTCAAAAGTTCAGTTTCATGGGAACAGTACAGACAGAAACTGCGTTCAGTTCAGCTTACATCTTTTGCTTTTCCTGTTATCTGTCTTAAAATATCTTGTTTTGACAATTAGGTGAAGGTCACCTGCTCCAATGGCAATCAGCTAACTGCAGAAGAAAGAAGAAATAATGTAGTCATAGCAGTGACCCAGAGAAACACCACCAACATCTGGAATTCATGGACCAGTGATGGTCAGGAAGCGAATGATGTCCAGATCATAAATTATACTGTGCCGGAACATGGAATCTTTAAGATTGAATTCCTGATCCTGGCCGATTCCAGTGAACTACAGTTGAAGGTACCACCTGTTTCCTGTCCTTGTGTCATGGCAGCAACGTGACTTCTGCTGTTGCAGTCTTGTGGGAGGGTCTCACCCTGCCCCAGCCACTGTCTGTGTTTTAAAACAGGGGTAAAGTGTTAGAAGTAATTTAAGACAGTGGCTAACGTTACCTTGAATGTTCCCCTTGTAACTTCATTTGAGAACCGCAGAACAATACAGCAATGTGAAGCTATGCCACAGAGGCTCCTGAAACCCTCATGGAGGTTGATTTTCAGTCATTTGAAGTTTTGTTTTGGCAGGAGCTGGAAATGAAAAGGGTTATACATACCTTTCCCTGAGCTTGCTTTCCCAAAGTGGCTACTCTGAGAAGCCCCAGCATTCCTATAGCCTTCCTGTTGGTTAGTCATCCCTGGCAGTCTGAGGCCTGGCTGGATGGAGTACCCCACAGAGGGATGGGGCCTCTTCTGATTTTTATTCCTCTTTTCTTTTTTGGAGGCAGGTTCTCATCATACAGCCCAGCCTGGCCTGGAGCCCTCTATGCAGCCCAGGTTGGCCTCAAACTCATGGTCCTCCCACCTCTGCCTCCTAAGTTCTGGGACCCAGGTGTGCACCACTACTCCTGGCTGACTTTTACCCTTCACAGTGGTGGATCAAGTGGGGCATGATATTTCTCATATACTTTATATGAAAGGAAGAAAAGGGAATTTTACATCTAATTCCCTCCTCTCGGCATCTTGTGATAGACTGCTTTGTTTCTGAAGTAAGCTCAGAATGTGCTTTCTTCCTCTAGGTTATGGTGGTAAAAACTCTTTTTTTAAATTCTTTATAGTATAAGCTATAAAATGATGAAGAGCCACTGTCTGGTGAACGTATGTTTCATGCAGGTGGGATGGGTGGGGGGAGAAAGTGAATCTGGCCTTGATTAATTAATTCAACAGCTTTTCTCAAAGTTACTGAAGTTGAAAATGTATTGCTTTCTTTCTTTTGCTGTAGGCTTCTTTTCTTGATACTGTGAGTAATATGGCAGTTCATGGCATGTTTACATCGCCTAGTAAGACATACATCCAGCTAAAAACAACAGATGAATATGTAAAGGTAATGCTCACAGCTCACTTGATAATTACAATGTTATTTGGCATTCTTACTACTGATATATTCATATTCATTAATATCTTTTTCTAGGTTGGATCACCTTTTGAGTTAGTGGTCAGTGGCAATAAGAAATTGAACAACTTAAGCTATATTGTACTTTATTTTAAACTTCATTGTTATTATTTTAAATATTTATTTTTATTTTATGTGTATATTTTGTCTACATGTATATATGTATACGATGTGTGTGTCTGGTGCCTGGGGAGACCAGAAGAGGGTGTTTGAGTCTCCATGTGGGTGTTGGGAACTGAACTCAGTTCCTTTGCAAAAGCAGAAAGTGTTCTTAACCGCCGAGTCATCTCTCCAGTCCCTATTATTATTATTATTATTGTGTGAGTATGAATGTATGTGCAGGAGTACAGGCATTTGTGTGCCATGTTGTGTGTGTGTGTGTGTGTGTGTGTGTGTGTGTGTGTGTGTGTAGGTCAGAGGACAACTTTCAGGAGTCAGTTCTCTCCCTCCACTATGGATTCTGGGGATTGAACTCAGATAATCAGGCTTGCACAAACAAGTACCTTTGCCCACTGAGCCATCTTGTTGGCCTGGCAAATTCTTATTAAGTTTAAATTTGTGATCTGTTATAGAATCATCTTAAATGATGTCTATCTTATAGCTTCAACAAATTTACTAAATGTTAAAATTAGCATTCTCTTTTTATACACTATTTCTTTCTTAAACTATATTTGCATTTTCATTTAAAAATAGATAGAGGCTGGAGAGATGGCTCAGAGGTTAAGAGCACTGACTGCTCTTACAGGACCCAGGTTCGATTCCCAGCACCTACATGGTGGCTAATAGTTGTCTGTAGCTCCAGTTCCAGGGGAATCTGAAGCCTTCTTTTGACTTCCTCAGACACTGTACGACATGGGTGCACTTACACACATGCAGGCAATACACTCATACACATAAAATAAAAAAGATTAAAAACATAGATAATTAAATTTTGTATTATGTTTAAAATTTTAATTTCTATTATATAGTCAACATCTGTCCATTTCAGAGAATTATGAAATATAAAAAAGAAAATAAAAATTGTCATCACACTTTTGTAATTTTGCTAACTCAACTCTCCCAGTGGAGCACTGTATCCCTCCAGTCAAAAAATAGGATCTCTTCCAGTATAAAGAAATGACCAGATAGACTAGTTATCATAATCTCCATTTATACATGTGCATGTATTGCAATGTCATATTGCATCCTATAAATATGTATAGATATTATGTGTCAGTTGAAAATTAAAGATGCAAAAAAGAAATAAAAAATGTTTGAAG